CAAGTATTCTGCAGACAGCTGGAGTGCGCGCCCCCAGACCTGCAGCTCATGTGTCCAGGACAGATTCCAGTGATCTTTTCCACCAGAACAGCAGATGCAGAAATTTATAAATAAGTCATTGACAGTGAACTCGCTCTGATTCAGCAAGGCAAGCACAAGTGATCTGCCAGCTGACTCAGGATAACAACTGACAGAAATGAAAGCGAGGAAAACAACAGCATCTACCTGTTCAGCTAAAATTAGAGCATGCTCACAGAAGCAGAATATTATGTCAGTGAAACATGCTTGAGTATCTCAATGAAATAAGGCTTGTGTCTCCAGGTATGTTACACAGACAACACATTCAGTCTGAGACCTGAAGCTAAGCATTTATCTACATCTTCAAGATGAAGTGCAGAAAAAACAAAGACACTAATTCGAAAAGATACATGTACCCAATGTTCACTGCAACATTATTTATAGTTGCCAAGATAGGGAAGCAACCCAAGTGTCCAACAGATGACTGGATAAAGAAGATGTGGTATATATATACCATGGAGTACTACTCAGTCATAAAAAAGAAGGAAAATTTGCCATTGGCAGCAACGTGCATAGACTTGGAGGGCATTATGCTAAGTGAAATAAGTCACACAGAGGAAGACAAATGTACGTTATAACTTGTATGTGTGAAGTCTAAAAAACATAACAAACTAGTGAATATACAGACTCACAGATCCAGAGAACAAATGATTGGGGAGAGGGGAGCAGGGGAGAAGAAGTTAGGATTAGGTAATTTGGAGGTACAAATTATTATATAACATAAGCTACAAAAATACATTGTAGCTTGGGGAATGTAGCCAATATTTTATAATAACTATAAATGGAGTTTAACCTTTAAAAATTGTGAGTCACTACATTGTACACATTACATGAACACCTGTACATATAATAGTGTACATCAAATACAATAAAAAAATTCAATAAAAATAAAATGAAAGTGAAAGATAAAATAGTTAAAAAAAAAAAAAAGAAGTGCAAAATTCCACCGGAAAAGAAATGCCTGCATTCTGGGGGGGCTGGGTGGCACCCTCAGGAAGAGCTCGTGAACCAGGGGGAGAGCCTAATGCATCTGTGTCTTCTTTAAACGGTTCCATGAATGTACTGTCTCAAACAGAAGCCACTAGTCATCATTCCCGATCTCTCACTCATCGTGACTTGTGTTTTGATTGAAGGCTAATTTGAGCGATGAGGGTGAAAAGTACTTTAATAAAATCCACTTTTTAAATGGTGGTTTTTCCTTTAAATGTGCACTTTTTAAGGAAAAATGAGAGAGTGTTTCTGTTCTACTTAGAAAAGAGCATTTGTGAATTTTTAAAATCCTAAAGGTTTTCATTTAGTGCAGAAGCAGTAGTTCCCCTAGTGAACAAATACAGGGTAAAGGTTCAAGAGGAAAGCAGAGGACATGTGACAGGTGAACATTAGTGCCCTAATAAGGCCTCACCTGTGTTTCTGAGCAGGACTGTCAATCCCGGCTTGGGCCATCAAGTCATTCACGTTCTTCTGCAAGTCTTCAATGCGACCCCCCATTTCTTCCAGTACAAGGTCAAGGAGAGCAGAACATGGGACACGGGCATCTAGGTCGATCCCTCAAAGACTGATGAAAATGCCCTGTGGTGCACATGAAAGGAGGGAGCTGAAGGCACAAACAGCTTCAGGTCAGTGCTCACTAACCGTGTCCTGTGGGCTTGGAACTGCTATTAATCCTCGCACTGTGTGCCCAGTTCTGAAAACTTGGCTCCCTTTCTTTGCACATAAATTCTAGGCTGTGAGCTTGTCTGGTATATTTAATCGTGTTTTAACCAAAGTCTAATCAGCATGTATATATGATGAAAATTACCTCTGTTTAAAACAATTTCCTACTGTTTCTTTTTATCATGTTCAAGAATCTTCTTTTCCCTGTTGGGCCCCATGTGCAGGATCAAAAGTTGCAAGTAAAGGGTTCCCTCAGCAAATGATGCACACACATTTTAAGGCAGGAGTTTAATTGTGTGATGTGAGTTCACCTGGGGAAGTCTTAGGGCAAGTGTCCCTTTTTCTAGGTTTTCTTAAACCAGAAACAAACACTCTACCTAACTTTGATTGAATTCATGTCTTACCAGATAGTCAGCTGCTGAAGTTACAAAGCAAACCGAGGCCAGGAGAGTCATTATAAAGATCCCTAGGTTGAAGACCTTCTCAGTGCGTGTGCAGGGTTCAGACAGTTTGAGGGAGTACAAACGCTATTGAGCAGACCATCCAGATTTAGTTAAGCCTGCTGGAAAAGCCGACTGGATAGTATGTACTTAATGTATGTCCTGTGTTTTACCCCTGCCTTACATAAACACCCTGCATTGCGGGTCAAGCTGGAAATATTACCTTCAGGTGGTAATTAATACATCAGGATGCTTTGTAAAAGCACAGATGAAAACACCAGGAAGCTCAGGGTCAGTAATTATCCACCAACAGCAGGAAACAACAAGATAGTCCACAACAGTTCAAGAGTCCAAAAGCATTGCAATATTTGTTATGAAATAGAAAAGGATATTTCTGAGGTTTAATGTGGCTGTCAGAGCTTGAAAATGTTCTTGAAGTTCCTGAAATAGATTTTCTGCCTGAAAAATTGAACAAGACAAGTGAATATATATTTACTTGTGATGCAGAGTATTCTAAGAACCATGGAAGGGGAACCATCCCTAAAAACAGTTAGTTGATTTCTTGTTTGATGCTAATTTTTTTACATTGAAGTACAGTTGGTTTACAATGTCATGCCAATCTGTGCTATACAGCAGAGTGAGTCAGCTATACATGTACATATATTATTTTTTAATATTATTTTCCATTACAGTTTGTCCTAGGATATTGAATATAGTTCCTTGTGCTGTATATTAGGACCTTGTTTATCCATTCTAAATGTAATAGTTTGCATCTACCAACCCCAGACTCACACCTCATTCCTCCCCCTACCCTTGGCAATCACAAGCCTGTTCTCTATGTCTATGAGACTATTTGTTTTGTAGATAGGTTCATCTGTGTCATATTTTAGATTCTACATGTAAGTGATATCATATGATGTCTTTCTTTCTCTGTCTGACTTACTTCACTTAGTATGATCATCTCTAGACCCATCCATGTTGCTGCAAATGGCATTAGTTCATTCTTTTTTATGGTTGAGTAGTATTCCATTACATACATATACATACCACATCTTATTTATCCATTCATCTGTCAATGGATATTTAGATTGTTTCTATGTGTTTTGGCTTTTGTGAATAATGCTGTGAAGATAGGGCCTCATGTATCTTTTTAAATTATAGTTTTGTCTGAATACATGCCCCAGGTGGGCTTGCTGGATCATATGGTAATTCTGTTTTTACTGTTCTAGGAACCTCCAGTACTGTTTTTCACAGAGGGTGCACCTTACAGTTAGTTGATTCCTGACAGGGTGAGAAGGCTTTCCCACGCAAAGGATAAAGAAAATCAACCAACAGTTTCAACCAACAGCTGGAACAGTGACAGCCCAACTGTAACTAAGCAAGCAAGCCTGACCCGTACCACACATCATCCACAACGATTAACTCAAAGCCATCAGACATTTAAATACAAGCAACAAACTGTCAGAGGTCCAGAAGATAGCATAGGAGAAAATCTCTAACCTCGGCTTCTCAAAGAATTCTTAAGGAGTTTTGCTAGGGTCCCCAGAGCACACCGCGTGGGCGCACGCCGCCCCTACACTCGTGGGTGCTTGTTCGCCGGGACTGGGTTTGCAGAAACCTGTTAGGGGGCCAAACCGGAACACCATCCCTGTGACTGACGGCGGGCACATTCAAGCTGCCCTGAGTTTCCAGGTGGAAGTCTCACCCGGTCCAGGACACACTCCCTCCTCCCACAGTGTTATCTCCGCTTTAGAGCCGAGGCGGGTCTCCCGCTGCACTCTGCTTTCCTGTGTGGAGCAGGCCCTCTGTCTGGAGCGCTTCCCGGCGGTCAATCAGATTTTTTTTTTTTTTTTTGGTCAGAAAAACGTGGATTCAACTGTGTACACCTAACCAAATCTTCTTAATGAGACTACCTGCCCTGGGCCATCTCATCTCTGGCACTGCAGCTCCTTCTGCAAATGGGAAGCAGCTTGGGGTGGGTGGGGGTGGTGGCGCTTCGCGGGCTGGGTGAGGGGCGAGGGGATCCAGCCTCGGGGGCAGGGCGTCCATCCCGGAGGGGCGCTCAGGGCGGGAGGGTCCCCACTCACCGCGTCCCGCAGTGCGCGCCCGCCGGCTGCTTCGGGGCCCGGTGCGTCCATGTCTGCGGCCGGCAGGCCCGGGCTGCAGGCGCGCCGGCTGGTCCCGGGTCGGCCGCTCCGCGGGGTCCTCTCTGCCGCCCTGGGCTCCCGGCGGCGATGGCCCGGGACGCGCAGAGCAAGACCCGAGAGGCACGCGGGTGGCGGCCTGGGCGGGGCGGGACCTCCGCGGACAGGCCTATCCCAGCTCCACTGTTTGTTTTACTTTCATCGTTTCAGAGCCCAGAGTGAGCATGATCTTTTAATGATCATCCTGGCAGAGAATGCACAGCATAGAAATTTCCGTTTTACCTGCTTCTAAGCGCACGGTGTGGTGGTATCAGGTACCACCGCGTTGCTGTGTGACCACGACCGCCATCCACTCCCTGAGCCTTCTCCTCGTCCCAAAGCCAGGCTCTGCGCCTGGGGACACCTCCCCAGCTCCCCAGCCCCTGGCACTCGCCCTTCCATCCTGGAGGCTGGGTGGGGGGGTGCGGGGGCGGGGATGGAGTCCAGCCGCAGCCCACGTTCGCACTAAGGTCCTGGGCCTCGTGATCTTCCACCCAGGAGACTCTCCTCTCCCTGAACATCTGCCATTTCTGCCCCCAACTTTAAGATTAAGAATAGTTTTGTTCTGGGAATTCCCTGGTAGTTCAGTGATTAGGACTCTAAGCTCTCACTGCCAAGGGCCCAGATTCAATCCCTGGGCAGGGAACTAAGATCCCACAAGCCTCCTAGGGTGGCCAAAAAAAAAAAAAAGAAAAGAAAGACTAGTCCTGTCCTGTGACCAACAAAGAATGGCCAACACTTGAGTCTCTGCTCTGATTTTTTGAGGATCTGGAAGGAAGGCATCACTACTGCCTTCTCTCCCTCTGTGCCCTGCAGGCCTGTCTGGATCATGGCTCGGGGGCATTTCATGGGTGATGGTCCAGGACCCTGTGCTTGGCAAGTACCTGCTTTGTTTACACATCTGCACCTCTCTGTGGGCAGGGCTGTGTCTGTATGGGCGCCCCAGCACCCCAGGGGTCTTGGCCAAGTGACCACACAGGGGCGCCTGGCTGCTGGATGTGTGCTGAAGCACAGCCTTTCGTGCAAAGAAACCCAACATCCTCTTTCATCAGGAGAATACAAATCAAGACCACCAGGGGAGCCACTTCACACCCACTGTGATGGCCCAAGTCAAAGGAATAAATGACAGGTGTGGGCAAGGAGTGGCAGAGTCTGAGTATCACACCCAAGTGGGAAGGTGCCGTGGTGCAGCCAGTCTGGCAGGTCCATAAAAAGTTGACATAAAGTTACCAGACAACCTCAGTTCTGTCTCTAGGTATGTGCTAGAGGGAAAAGACACAACATATCCACACAAAAACCTGTACAGAAAAATTTATAGCGGCATTATTGACTATTAATGATAGTCAACAGGTGGAAATAGCCAGATGTCCACCAACAGACAAATGGATAAACAAAATGTGGTCCTGCCTCAGGATGGAGTACAATTCAGGCATAAGAAGGAATAAAGCCCTGACCCATGACACAGCATGGATGAACCTGGGGAGCATGATGCTCAGTGAGAAGCTAGTCATGGGAGGATGAGTGGTTAGACTCCATTTACAGGACAGGTCTAGACTGGCAGATCCATAAAGACAGGAAGTGGAGTGGGAAGGGGAGAGATTGCATCATAGTTAAGGGGTTTCTTTCTTTCTTCAACTGTAATCTCTGTGGTTCAGTGGAAACCTACTCAGAAACTCTCTGATAACCCCGAGAACCCAATCTCTACTGGAGAAATGGGCTCTGTCATTCTCTATCTAGCACCTAGACTCCTTAAAGTGAAAGTGAAGTCGCTCAGTCGTATCCAACTCTTTGCCACCCCATGGATTGCAGCCTCCCATGCTCCTCAGTCCATGGGGTTTTCCAGGTGAGAGTACTGGAGTGGGTTGACATTCCCTTCTCCAGAGGATCTTCCTGACCCAGGGATAGAACCCGGGTCTCCCGCATTGTAAGACTGTCTGAGCCACCGGGGAAGCCCTAAGAAGGGGTCAGATTCTTAGTTCTGCCTTTCTAGAACACAAATTCACTAATACGGAAATGAGAATCACTCAGCAAAACTCATTTGGTTAAGGATATTAAATCCCAGGAACTTGGTTCAGGGGGGAAATTCTCTAATGAAGCTGATCTTGCAAATCAACAACAGGAGAGTATTCAAGTGTTCTGTGAAGCAGCAGAAACTAGACAATGCTTCACTGGTGCAAAGACAGGCTGGGGAAGAAAACAGAGTCTAGGTAAGAAGTACACAGGGCTTCCCTGATCGCTCAGTGGTAAAGAATCTACCTGCGATGCAGGAGACCTAGGTTCAATCCCTGGGTTAGGGAGATCCCCTGGAGAAGGGAATGGCTACCCACTCCAGTATTCTTGCCTGGACAATCCCATTGACAGAGGAGCCTGGTGGGCTACAATCCATGGGGTCATGAAGAGTTGGATGACTGAGAGACTAACACTTTCACTCACAAGAAGTACACAATGGAATCAAAGACACAGACCACAAGAACAGCAGCTAAATATAAAACAAAACTTTAAATCAGAAAGCTAGAATTTTAACTCTGAGAGATGAGAACATTGGTGTGACTGATGGGACCCAACCACTAAGGCTGAAGAAGCTAAAGTTGAACGGTTCTATGAAGACCTACAAAAGACCTTCTAGAACTAACACCAAAAAAAGATGTCCTTTTTATCACAGGGGACTGGAATGCAAAAGTAGGAAATCAAGAGATACCTGGAGTAACGGGCAAGTTTGGCCTTGGAGTACAAAATGAAGAAGGGCAAAGGCTAGGAGAGTTTTGCCAAGACAACTCACTGGTCATAGCAAAAACCCTCTTCCAGCAACACAAGGGATGACTCTACACATGGACGTCACCAGTTGGTCAATACTGAAATCAGATTGATTATATTCTTTGCAGCCAAAGATGGAGAAGCTCTATACATTCGGCAAAAACAAGACCAGGAGCTGACTGTGGCTCAGATCATGACCTCCTTATTCCTAAATTCAGACTTAAATTGAAGAAAGTAGGGAAAACCTCTAGACTATTCAGATATGATCTAAATCAAATCCCTTACAGTTATACAGTAGAAGTGACAAATAGATTCAAGGGATTAGATCTGATAGAGTGCCTGAAGAACTATGGATGGAGGTTCATAACATTGTACAGAAGGTGGTGATCAAAACCATCCCCAAGAAGAAGAAATGCAAAAAGGCAAAATGGTTGTTTGAGGAGGCCTTACAAATAGCTGAGAAAAGAAGACAAGCAAAAGGCAAAGGAGAAAGGGAAAGATATATCTATCTGAATGCAGAGTTCCCAAGAATAGCAAGGAGGGATAAGAAAGCCTTCCTAAGTGATCAGTACAAAGAAATAGAGGAAAACAATGGAATAGAAAGACTAGAGATCTCTTCAAGAAAATTAGAGATTCCAAGGGAATATTTCATGCAAAGATGAGCACAATAAAGGACAGAAATGGTACAGACCTAACAGAAGCAAAAGATATTAAGAAGAGGTGGCAAGAATACATAAAAGAACTATACAAAAAAAGATCTTAATGACCCAGATAACCATGATGGTGTGATCACTTACCTAAAGCCAGACATCCTAAAGTGTGAAGTCCAGTGGGCATTAGGAATTATCACTATGAACAAAGCTAGTGGAGGTGACAGAATTCCAGCTGAGCTATTTCAAACCCTAAAAGATGATGCTGTGAAAGTGCTGCACTCAATATGTCAGCAAATTTGGAAAACTCAGCAGTGGCCACAGGACTGGAAAAGGTCCGTTTTCATTCCAATCCCGAAGAAAGGCAATGCCAAAGAATGTTCAAACTACCACACAATTGTACTCATCTCACACATTAGTAAAGTAATGCTCAAAATTCTCCAAGTCAGGTTTCAACAATATGTGAACCAAGAACTTCCAGATGTTCAAGCTGGATTTAGAAAAGGGAGGGAACCAGAGATCAAATTGCCAACATCCTCTGGATCATAGAAAAAGCAAGAAAATTTCAGAAAAACATCTACTTCTGCTTCATTGATTACGCTAAAGCCTTTGACTGTGTGGATCACAACAAACTGGAAAAGTCTTCAAGAGATGGGAATACCAGACCACCTTACCCTGCCTCCTGAGAAATCTGTATGCAGGTCAAAAAGCAACAGTTAGAACCAGACATGGAACAATGGACTGGTTCCAAATTGGGAAAGGAATGGTTCTACATTAAGCCTACATCAAGGCTGTATATTGTCACCCTGCCTATTTAACTTATATGCAGAGTACATCATGCAAAATGCCGGACTGGATGAAGTACAAGCTGGAATCAAGATTGCCAGGAGAAATATCAATAACCTCAGATATGCAGATGACACCACCCTTATGGCAGAAAGCAAAGAGAAACTAAAGATCCTCTTGATGAAAGTGAAAGAGGAGAGTGAAAAAGCTGGCTTAAAACTCAACATTCAAAAAAAGAAGATCGTGGCATCTGGTCCCATCACTTCATGGCAAATAGATGGGGAAACAAAGGAAACAGTGACAGACTTTATTTTTCTGGGCTCCCAAATAACTGCCCATGGTGACTGCAGCCATGAAATTAAAAGACACTTGCTCTTTGGAAGAAAAGTTATAACCAACCTAGACAGCATATTAAAAAGCAGAGACATTACTTTGCCAACAAAGGTCCATAGAATCAAAACTATGGTTTTTCCATTAGTCATGTATGGATGTGAGCACTGGACCACAAAGAAAACTGAGCACTGAAGAATTGATGTTTTTGAACTGTGGTGTTGGAGAAGACTCTTGAGAGTCCCTTGGACTGCAAGGAAATCAAGCCAGTCAATCCTAAAGGAAACCAGTCCTGAATATTCATTGGAAGGACTGATGTTGAAGCTGAAACTCCAGCACTTTGGCCATGAATTGACTTTGGCAAAGAACTGACTCACTGGAAAAGATCCTGATGCTGGGAAAGACTGAAGGCAGAAGAGGGGGACGACAGAGGATGAGATGGTTGGATGGCATTACCCACTCGATGGACACGAGTTTGAGGAAGCTCAGGGAGTTGGTGATGGACAGGGAAGCCTGGCATGCTGCAGTCCATGGGGTCACAAAGAGTCAGACACCACTGAGCGACTGAACGAACTGTACTGGATGTAAGAGGAAGTTCTATCCCTGAAGCATGAAGGCCAGCGGAAGCGCCCAGATGCCCCTCTGAGTCCATGTGAATGGCTTAATTTCTAAGGCCTTCAATCTAAGATGCTGCTGACTTTAAGATGCATAATTATTGCCAAAAAGGGAGAAATGCTGCCAATTCGCCCTGCTGATTTTTATTTTATATTCATTAAAAGAGCTCTTTTATAGTTATTGATACTGGGTGATGGATACATGGAGTTCACTGTGCTACAATCTCTACTCTTGTGTATGTTTGAAATTCTCACTTAAAAATTCTGTAAGAAAAGAAGAGTTCTTTTAGGGTACTTATTTGGATATACAGATTTTTTGAAACTTCCTATTTTATACTTACGTATAGCGATTAACAATGTGATAGTTTCAGGTTAACAGGGAAGAGACTTATACATATACCTGTTCTCCCCCAAACTCCCCTCCCATCCAGGCTGCCACATAACATCAAGCAGAGTTCCATGTGCCATATAGAAGGTCCTTGTTGGTTATCCATTTTAAATATATCGGTGGATACACAGATTTTGAGCATAGAAAATTTTTTTTGCTTCCTTTTATTGGTTGTTGCAATATCTCATAATTTTAACTTATTTTTTAAAAAAATATTTCCTTTATTTATTTATTTGACTGTGCCAGGTCTTAGTTGCGCCATGTGGGATCTAGTTCTCTGACCAAGGATTGAACCCAGGCCTTATGGTTGGGAGTGCAGAGTCTTAGCCACTGGACCACCAGGGAAGTCCCTTAACTTCTATTTTTAATGCAACATAAGCATCTATTTTTTAACCCACTAATTATTTATTATGCAATTCTGGCCCCATTTTTAGTAAGTGCCTTTCCCAGAAGCAATTAACCTGAATCATGAGGACTTCCTGTGTCGTTGTGAATTTTGAAACAGTGGTTCTCAGAG